CCAACCAACAAATTAAGTGCCTTTGAAAATGCTCGAACATATGCGTGTTCTAGAGTTTGATCTTCATCGGAGGCTTTGTCGCTGAAAAAATAACATGAGCATCTCTTTTGATAAGTGAAAACCTTGGCAATGGAATGGAAAATGTTGGCAAGAGAGTGGAAGATATTTTCTAAGAGTGATGTGAGAAATAGTGTGAAAAATGGTGAAGATGGGTGGTTGCATTTATAGAAAACCAAATAAAACTTTCAAGCCATCTAATATGGTGCCTCCTTCTTAAAATTACATGTATGTGCCACACTGCATGGCACTACATAGAAGGATAAGCCATGCAGTATGGCGCCTACTCTCTAATTTACATGCATGCGGCACGTAGAGTGGCTTGACCTCTGTGTGACGAATTTTTTTTGTTTGAAAAAGTGGTTGCTTTGGTAATTTTTTTGAAAAAGTGGTTATTAAAAAAATCATTAAATTGTGTAATTTAAAATTTTAACAGAATTTAAATATTTAAGTAATTATATATATATATATATATATATATATATATATATATATATATATATATATATATATATATATATATATATATATATATATATATATATATATATATATATATATATATATATATATATATATATAATTTGTATTTTACCTATTTTGTGGTGTTGATTCTAGGCTCTGGTTCGTTTCTTAAGGAATCAGCGTTTCCTTCTAATTTGTGCTTGAATTTTGTTGGACATCTCATATACGCCAAGTATAAGTATGGTGGTCGAAATAAATGATGCAAACATTAATATGTCAAAGAGACCACCTTTTTGCCCTTAATAGTTTGATCATTCTAGCTCAATTTGAGAGATCGGTATGATATGATTAAAATATTCAGAAAGAAATCATCGGCAATACATAAACCTTCTTAAATTGACTTGGCCAACTCTTTAGAGAGATAACGATTTTCTTGTTTCATCATAAGAAGGTCGTTAAAGCAACTCTTTAGAGAGATAAAAATCATCTTGTTTCAAAGTTGCCCTCATCCTTCTTCAGGCTTTCTTGTGACTCTTTTAGAGACTTCTCTAGATCTTCTATCCTTTTCTGGGAAGGATCTTTGGATCAATTCGCTTCTTCTAAAATGGCATCCTTCTTAGACAAAAATTTATGGTCGGAAGCCAAAGTCTTGTTTTTCTCAATTACTTTTCAGGAAAGTAGCTTCACATTTTCAACCAGAGTGTCAGGGTATTGAAAAGGCTCCACGACAGCCTTCATATCCAAAAATGAATCGACAACACCTTAGATCTCCTTCAGGTATCTACTCCGTTCAACTGTAAAGTCATCAACCCGTTCCTTGAGATTATATCCCTTTTGATAGAGACAAACAGCTAAAAAGGTCACTCGGCGACCAACAACCTTAAACACCAGAATGATTAATGCCCGATGAGTATGATGAGTTAATTGAGCCAATTCCTTTTGTCGAGCTTCTTCAGAGAGACCTAAAAAGTAAGTATAATCTTCATAAAAAACTGAAGACCAAAACGCACTATCCATCCTCAGGCTAGGACGAGCTAGCAAAACAGGATTTAACTCCACCTGAACAGAAATCTACCCCTTACAGATCTATGTCGAGGATACTTATGTGAAGGTCTCTTAACTTGAATCTCTTATAACTTTAAGATGGAAGTCAACCCTTCCTTGCCTTCCTACCATGGAGATGGTAAGCCTTCATCTACCACGATCCTCTCAGGGGAAACTCAGTCTTCTATATTCAGACAAGAGGAAGGTTAATTTGAATAAATCTGACAATCAAACCACAAGGCACCCCGATAAATATGTTCGAGGTAGAAGGTCTCCCAGGATAAGGCTTACTCAAAATTCTGACCAAAACATAAGCAACCCGAATCTCTTTACATAGCATCTTTATTTTTTATTGCAACTACACATTCAACAAAAGAGACATTATAGAAAATTCGGAAAAATAAAATAGAAAAAATAAAGTTTTTGTGCCGCTTACTAGAGATTCACGACTGAAGACTCTTTCTTTTTTTATTTCTTTATATGTATGTTTGATTAGAAAAAAATTAAATATTTTTTATGTTAAATTATGTAATAAATGTATACATAATCATTGCAACATCTATTTCAAAGCAAAGACGTTGAACAAATCATAAAGTGCTACCATGCTGCATGCTAGCATCACCTAATTCAGGCACCTGATGATTAAAGTTGGAAATTAATTAAGATAATGTCTAAAACACATACCATACATCTTGATCACATTTGGAAAATCCTATACGTCTAATTGATTACATTTGCAAAATCATACACGTCTAACTTCATAATGTTCTATTGTCCTATAACTATATATCTATGCTAAAAAATTTAATATTGTCAAACTTAGGTAAATTCCAAATCATACTCAACTAGATATGTTTGTTTGTTGCTTTAGAATTAAGGGAAACAAAAAATTAGAGGTAAATAATGGTGAAATATTTGTCATGATCAATTCCCATTTTTCTATGAAGTGGTTACAAAAATTTATGTTTACTAGGGTCCTATGGTGAAATACTTTCTATAAATATCATAAGGCACCACATTCAAATATAAATAGTAACTTTTTAATGAAATGAGAGAAAAGATGTAAAGTAATCTAGAAAACTAAGAAAAGTAGATTTCTTAATATATTCTTCCAATTTTTTCATGACATAAAGTTAAAAAAGAAATGTCCACAACCAAAAGCTATCAACATTTTTCACTTGTGTAAAGTAAATGAAGACAACATCATGGTTAGTGAGAAAGAGATTTATGTATCATTGTTTATAGTTTCATGGTATGATTTGTCAAACACCCACCTGTTTGACCAAATTATTATCCTTTTCTTTGGCTTGAGACACAAAAAAAGACTTGAATATGTTTGTTTTTTAAAAAGTCCATAGTGGTGTCAATTAGGATTTAGACTAAAATAGAATGTGCTTGAAAGAAATTTAAATCCTACGCACTCAAGAATATTTATTGAAGTATTTAAAATAGAGATAAAATAGTTCTGTCAAGATTAAAATATATTAAAAAAATATAATGATGAGAAAAACTGAGAAAAAAATTTGTAGGTTTTGATATAGTTCGTAAAAAATAATAGGTTAAACGAATAATATCGATAGCATCATTCGTTTTACTACCATTTAATTTTAAAGTGACAAATGATCATATATAATAAAAATAGTCCAGACGAGAACACCTTATTCAGCATTATTAAAATTGTTAATTTAATCTGTTTTGTCACCTTTAATTTAAAATGGTACAAAAATTTAAATATTCACTTTTATTTTATAAGTTAAAAAATAAACTTGAATTTAAACTTTCTAATTTGCATCAACGACCAACAATATTCTGAATGGGCACTCTACACTAATTAGTACTAACCATATAATAAATTCCACCCTAAAATAGCTAGAATTCACTCTTTATAGACAACTACAAATGAGGAGCTAAGACACATAAACAACACTCAGTGAATTCAAATTAGTTGAAAATGTAAAATACAATTCAACCACATGTAGTCTTAAAAAAATGCCAAATATAATCAATAGTCAAAAGTCTAAGACCAAAACAACAAGCAATGCTATTCTACCCTTGTTATCATCACACTTTGACATTTTTAGACAATTAGCCTTTTCCTTTTATAATATTTCCATGATTTAGTGTGATTACTTTAAGAAAAAGACATAACAACTAAAAAAACAATTTGTATATAATTGTAATTAAGAAGTGATTAACAAACACAATTTACTTGATCATTTAATGCTAGATAAATTCATAATTGATTTAGATTAAATGTAATTATCTAACTACCATCGATGTCATGATCACATTATGAAAGTAAATAAATTGTTTTTTACCCTATGCTTTTGAGAGTGTACAAAGTAGAATAGTACACATATTCAAAATTTTACACGATTAAATTATAATTAAAAAATATTTTATATAAAATCTATTAATCAGTTAAATTATATAAAATAAAATTATTATTTAATTTGTCAAAATTAAATTATGCTTAAACTATTCTCAAAAATTTAAGAGAATTCTTATATTTATAAAATATATCTCAATCTCAATCATTTATTTATTAAAATAAATGATTGAAAATATAAATACGACGGAGAAGATTCAACTCTCGTTATAAACACATAAAATTATAAATACACACAATTCAACTGTGTGATTAGATTATGGGTGATAAAATATAAAATATATGTGTTTTGTCCGTATTTTTTTTACGAGAAATCAATATTTTATGTACACGCTCTCACACTATTTTTTTCATAAAATGAATAAAAGTTTTATATTTGTAGCTTCAACTTTGCTTGCTCCATCACATTTTTTCCGACTTATATGGGATGGATATCACCCTAATTAAAGTAAACAATAAAATTGAAATAATTAGTGTGAATCATTAAGATTTTGCCTAAAATTACAATAAGCATATTTTTAGAAAAAAGTCACAATAAATCACATTAACTCTATGAACTTTATTGTGGATTCAAACATACAGAGAATCGTTAATGAGTGAAATTCAGACAAGCATTAAACCTACATAAGCTCAAACAGAAGAAGCAAAAGATAATTTTCTCCTCATTCTCTCTCTGGTCCATAGTTGTTTCCCAAGTAAAAAGCATCAAACACATTCTGCATCATATTTATTTGCATTAATGCATCAAACCCTATGCACCTTGACTCACAAACCTCTCATTGACTATCCTCATTTTCAGAGCTCACACTTCAAAATCCACACACATCATCAAAATCTCAAAAACACACAAAACAAGGACAAAAAAGTCATTACATCAATAATTCAGAACCATTATTTTCTTCCTTAAAGTTTATTTTTTTTCATGACCCTTTATTAAACCAGATCCAAAAAGAAACCTTTGTGACTTTGTTTCATTCTTTATGGGATTTTGAGCCTATTACAAAAAATTTCCATGCATGATCTTTGTCTCGACAACATGAGGCTAATGAGTCTGCTTTTTTTCTTCTGGCTCCTTCTAGTGTTGATTCTTTTCTTCTTCAAAAATTCTATTTCTGTTGAAGGCTATGCAAAATCTCAAAACTTTAGAACTGATTCTAACTCAAAGTTAAGTGCTGTTCAAGGTAAAACAACTTCAACAAAGAATTCAGGTGTACAAGGAAGTGAAGACGTTCTTGCTGATGAGAAGAGGAAAATCTACACTGGTCCTAATCCTTTACATAACAGATAAGTGCAAAATTTATAAATCCTTTTCTTTTTTCTTCAATTATTTCAAGATCCATCTATGATTTGTATATATATTTTTCTTTCAAATTTTTACTTTTTTTTTTTTTTGTTCTTAATTTCTACCATTCTCTTTTCTGGTAAGAGTTTGTGATAAATTGTACTAATTTTTATGGACAAGTTTATTCATGTGTACTTGTCAATTATTACCATATTATAAGAATGTTGATTTTTATAATTTATGCTACAAATAAATATGTATTTTATTTTTTCGCATTCGAAGACGTAGATACAATTGACTGAATTTTATTTTATTTTTTAAAATAAATTATTAATTTATAAATATTAATAATTTGTCTATATTAATACATAATTTTAAGTAAAAGTTGTCATCAGAAATTCAACTAAATTCAACTAAAACCCGAATTTTTACATTTATTTAATTTAATTAACACATATTTTTTATGTATGTTTTACAATTATTGATTCTAAGTCAAGTTCATATGCAAATACAAAAAGAAAAATAAAAGACATGATGTGAATTATGAATAATTTAGGTGCCATTAATGTAGAAATTGTAATGTAGTGACTATTCAACTGTTTTTGACATTTGTCAATATTTTTCTTTTATTTTATTTGCATGCAATGGTGAAAAAGTACGCAGACAACTCTACTGATATAGTGTTTGTATTTTTGTTAATTTGTATAATCATTTCATTTTTGTTGATTTAAATATATTGTTCATATGACAATGTCATGTTCTGCCATTTTTTGGATGTTGATTTTGGTTTCGACTTTTGGACAGAGTACTTGCAGATTGCATTGAATTGATTTTGTCTACTGCAATAATATATGTTTTTTTAATCATTTTTGTTTTTGCATATGAACTTGAAATGCTGACTATAACATTTTAAAATGCATGTGCAACTTAATAAACCGTTGGTTAAAGTTTTGAAAAACTTTGATTTTTTTTATATTTTTTGAAAAATGATTTATATGATTTTTTTTAAAATATAGTCTAAATTATTTTAAATTATTTTTAATAAATAAAAATATTAATTTTGATATATCGTAACTTGAATATTCACTGTAAAAAGATGAAATATATAATTTAAATATTATTTGTATTAAAAAATATTCAAAATAATTTTAAATTTAGTCAATTCTTAAAATTTGGACGTTAAAAAAATCAATTCAAAAAGATCAAATACTTATAATATTTTTTTATAAGAAGAACTTAATTAATTTTTTATTTTAATTTCTTCAAAAACTTATTTTTAATATTTTAAAAAAATTAAGACAAACGGATTTATTTGCTCTGATTTTAAAAGAAAATGTTGTATAAACAGTTTCAAAATTTTTGAAGAGCCTTAGTCATTTAGTTAAAGGATTCATATTTATTTCCCTTATATAATATTCATGTCATAGTATTCATATTATACTCTTCCAAGTTATTTATAGAGCAACAAATATTGTTGGAGTTAAGATATAAATTTTATGGATGCATAAGAAGCTTGAAGATGAAGATGAAAGAAAAGAGAGAAAAGAGATAGACAAATTTTGTAATTAATTTTCAAACTCTGTTTTTCAAATTAGAATTATGTTATAAATGCAACTAATTTTAGGTTTATATATTAACATTCAAATGCAAATCAAATTAAACTCCAATGCAAAAGAAATTTAAATGTAAATTTTGAATTTGAATTACATCTAACATCATCCCTTAATTCGTATTCAGCCAATTAAAATCAACAATACCAATTTCATCCCTCAAATTGATGAAGTGTTCAATTTTAATTGCCTTGGTCGGCACATTCGCAAGTTGCTTCTAAGTTATATAGTGAACAACTTCAAATACTTTATTCTGAACTTGGTTTCGTAGAAAATGATACTTAGTATCTATATGCTTGCTCCTCCCATGCAGCATTGGGTTCTTGGCAAGGTTGATTTAGGACTTGTTGTCAATCATCAGCTTGACTGATTTGCTCACCTTGAACTTCATTTCCTACAGCAATTTCATCAAACAGTTTGACACGCAGACAATGCTTCAGCAATGTATTCTGCTTCACATTTGGCAGTACAATCACTGGTTGTTTCTTGGAACACCAAGAAACGGGAGCACCTAGATACATAAACATGTAATCTGTAGTATTTCTTCTGTCAACTCTATCTTCACACCAGTTAGAGTCTGAGTAGCATATCAGCTCAGCAACCTCTGGCTCCCTAGATGGAAACATAATTTCATGCTTCAGAGCCCTTTAAATACCTGAGTATTCTGAATTCAGCTTGATAATGCGGTCATTTTGGTTTACTCATAAACTTACTCATCATTCCAAATGCATAACATATGTCTGACCTTGTATTGCACAAATATCTCATGGAGCCAATTAACTATTTGATGGTTATAGCATCTACTTCCTCACCATGTGGATAAAAAGTCCAGTTTATGATTTGTTTTTGCAGGTGTGACTGTAGGCTTACAATCCATCGGATCGAATCTCTTCAACAACTCAAATTCATACTTCAGTTGATGAACCATGATTCCTTTTTCAAAGCGTAAAATCTCCATCCCTAGAAAATATACCATATTTCCAAGATCAGTCATGTCAAAAGCATTCATCAGAACCATTTTGGACTTATTTTTCTAAGAACTACAACTTCTTGTTAGCAATATGTCATCTATATAAAGACACACCAAAATTACATTACCATCAAAGGTATGTTGCACATAAAAACCATACTCCATTTCACTAATTATGACGCTTTATCTAATGTGATGTAAATCTCCCCATGTGGAAGATGAAAATTGACGTCTTAGAGAGCCATCTCTCAACAAACGTTGACAACATATTATGGTTAATAGTAGTATAATCGATCATGCATAAATCTCGAAGCCCGGATAACTGCATTGCATCGTGAAATCACTACTGCTCAGGTTGCTACAACCTCGTAATCTTCCACCCATTCTTGATGCATTTTAAAGCATCATGGTACTGCAGAAAAATAAATCATCGCTAGAAAGTTTGAATACTACAACAGATGTATTTCAAAGAATAAATATAGATAAATCTTACCTATATGTCTTGCACATGTCTGGCGGCATGGTTTGCATATAGAGGCAACAATGATAAGTCATACGGCCTACGAGCCTCCTCCAAACTCCCTAGAAACGACTGCATCGATAACATGTACATCAACCTGGATTGGTGGGGCTTCTGGGGCATTAGAAGGTGACACCCGCCTCCTCTGGGGAGACGAAGTCGGAGATGCATAGGCCCTAGAAGGTGATGCATAACCATTAAATGAACTAGCATCGACCAATGGTCACGAGGGTCAGGCTCTTTCCTTGCAAAATGATGCCTGATGAGACACTCTGTTGACCCTTAATCAATCTTGGTTGTCATCTATATTGCCTATAATTAAACCAGACAAGACATACAAAGTATGAAAGTCAAACCCAGATGAAACATATTCAAAATCAAGCTAAATAATACATATAGACAAAATACAGAAATGCACATTTGTATTCCAAGAAAATCAAAATTTGAACTAATAGGGAAGTGCATTTCCGTATTTAAGTGCAACTCACAAAAAACCCATATGACAGAAATGCATGGAAACTAAAATTGCTCAAAACGCATTGCTCATTTATACTACCTAATAAATGCATTGCTCATCTATACTACTTATATATTGATGTATATTATACAACCTAATATTCAATTCTACTAATGCTTGTACAGAAAATCAAATTTAAAAAAACAAAAAATTTATTAAATGTGAGTTTGATATTGAACACTTCGATTAATTAAATGTTGAGAGTAAAAATTTAGAAATGACTTAAGAGAGTTTAAGAGTTTGAGAAAATTTGAAAGTTATAGAGAATTTACTGAAAATGAGAAAGACAGAGGGTCTCACATTTTTTTATTAAAACTCTTTCCGAAAGTGTAGTCCTCTAAGTTATACATAGATACATTTCTATATTAATTTTTATCATTGTTAATAGATTGATTGTGAACTCGGTACATCCAAAAATATATTTTCATATTCTAAAGATAATTTTGATTTTTCACATTGATGTGAGAGCTAACACATAAAAAAAAAAAGAAGAAGTAATTCCCTTAAAATATACATTGATTATTTTAATTTTACTTAAGTGCATCCAAAAGTAAATTTCTGTATTTCAAGAATAATTTTAATTTTTCGGAAGAGGGTGAGAGCAACAGGTGGAAAAAGTTATCCTCGTAAAATATATATTAATTATTTTAATTTTATTTACTTAACGTGGAATCCTAATTAATCGTTCAAACAAACAAAATATACACTTTATATCTTATCTTTTAGAAAATGAAAATCACATTAAATATATATTTTTTCATTAAAAATATACTTAGTCAATATTAAAAAAACGTAGTGAGTAAAAAAAACAAAAAACAAATACTTAGCCAATATTAACAGTAATAAAATCATACACCACAGACGCGAGTCGAACCCCGGACTTCACTTCTGCAAATTGATTTTTCCAATCGTGTTACTGTAGTTGTTGTGTATTTTTATAGAGCTTTTTGTTTTCTCTTTTTCCTCTGTAAGTTATTCATAATTGTTTTTTTTAACTAATTAATTTTGTAACTATTTTTTGGAACTTACGTGTACTATTAAGTTTATAAATAAAAAATAAATATTAAAGATTATAGGTTAATAATGCGCATAAGACGGAGTGAATTCGGTGATGGTCAATTTTTGCTTTCTCTTATAAATTTTTTATTTTTTTTTAATTATGGTGATGAATGCAATAAAGTGCGGAAAGTAAATGAACACCAGATGTATATTGGTTCTCCTCACAGATCGAGAGTACTCCAGTCCTCTTATCAACACGGAAGAGATTTTATTATAGTTTAGAATGATTGTACAAGCCTAATCACACCAAAGGTGATGTCTTACTATCTAATCTATAGGGAGATCAAAGGCTCTTAAAACCTTTAAGATCTTAAACACTAAGTGCAAGAA